GCAGCAAGCATTACATGGAGGACCACCAGTTCCAATGGCAATCCCTTAGCAAGGGGGTGACTTGACTTCACCCAGGCACCACCCAGGCACCACCCGCCGGCCACCCAGAAAGCGCCTATCTATTCCAGCCTCAGCAAACATGCCCAGACTGAGCACTGGATGGATGCAAAACCAAGCGAAACAAGACCTACAGGCTCCTCTTGCCATCTGATCACCTGTTCAGATTTGAAACAGCTTGGCTCAACATTTGAGGAAAAGCGTGCCCGTATCCAAGTGGACCACACCACTTCGGACAATCCGCAGGCCCCATTGGCCCATCCCAGTGCTTGCGACAACTGTTTCACTGCCAAGCTTCTCTCTGACCCACTCGCCGGGGAGTGTGTGCTGCAGCTGGTGGTTTCCATGGATTGTCCATCCAATCTGGGCTGTTCCTTAGCTGTGACCAATGACCAGCCCATTGTTTCTAGATAGCATTGAAGGGAAACCCAAGACATCTTCATCCAACCTGCCAGGACCCAAACCACCACCTCAATTTTGGAGGACTTCTGATGGTAACTCTCTTCACCCATTGAATGCGACCAATTCTGTGCTGTCTGCTACTGCTTTTTCTTTTACAACTGAGACAAAGGAAAACACATGGGCTTGTCTGAAAATGAGGTACCTCTAAAACCATTGGTGAATCACCATTCTTCAAATAGCCATTTCTTTTTTGCTATTTGGTTGGCATACCCCATTTCCAAACAAATTGATGCCATGTCATGGTGCAAAACCAAAGAGACATACCCTACCAGCTCAGCCAAGGCACGCTGAGCCCACTGTCTGAGAAAAGAGAATGCCAGTTTCATCACAAGTCCTTGACTGTTTGGAGATTGCTATCATTTTCGCAAAATGTGAAAGCAAAGAACATCAGTTGGAAGATGTTGGAAATAGGACCAGGAGGTCGGTCTTGGCCTCAACCTTCAATGATGTCTTGAGTCAGCATTTCTTTCTCTAGACTCAACTCTAGCCAAATTCACTAATTATGCCCCCGCATCGGTGAGGCCTGAAGCAACAATAAAACCAATGCTTTGTCAATCGGGATTTTGGGATCTAGCGAATGAATCCACCCCTGAAACTGCGGCTAAATATAAAGAGCAAACAGAATTGCCACTGCCGACAGGGGGAAAAACCATGAAAACACACCTTCCACCCCAGTTGTGGGGTTCCATCAGGGTCTCCATATTTGTTTTAAGCCAACCTATGCCAACACGAGTCAACCACGGAACAAACATACGGCAACCTATCATGTGGTTGGGAAACTCCTGGAGCTCCTTGGCCCCAAAGTGGTTAAATATGGATCCCATTGGATAGCCACTGGATAGTCACTGGATAGTCCCTCAATAGTCACTGGATAGCCACTGGATAGCCACTGGATAGTCACTGGATAGTCCCTCAATAGTCACTGGATAGCCACTGGATAGCCACTGGATAGTCACTGGATAGTCCCTCAATAGTCACTGGATAGCCACTGGATAGCCACTGGATAGTCACTGGATAGTCCCTCAATAGTCACTGGATAGCCACTGGATAGCCACTGGATAGTCACTGGATAGTCCCTGGATAGCCACTGGATAGTCCCTCAATAGTCACTGGATAGTCCCTCAATAGTCACTGGATAGTCCCTCAATAGTCACTGGATAGTCACTCAATAGTCACTGGATAGCCACTGGATAGTCACTGGATAGTCACTGGATAGCCACTGGATAGTCACTGGATGGCTATGGTGCGGCCCAAGTTTCATTTGTGTGCCAGGCTTTTTGCCTTTCTCTCTCGCGGAGCTCGGGACACCTGCCGGAGATTCACCTGGAGGACCTTGCTTCTTCAGCTTCTGTGCCACGCCCTGCTTTTCAAAGTAGGCACGGTTATTTTCGAAGAAGGACTTCATCCAATCCTCAGTTCTGAACACGGTTAAAGGAGATGGATTTCTTAGAAGGGCGCACATGATGGGTTAATTAGTAATAGTGTTTATTGAATTAATGGGTCACAATTGATGGGTCTCTTGATGACTTATGTGATGGTTTGTGGTGGTGGATGTTGCTGTTGTCTAAAGTCTATAGTAGTCTAAACCACCACGTAAGCATGATAAGAATGACCTGAAATCCTGAGCCAGAAAGCATTGTTTAATGACATGCCCGTGATATTGTTTTCCATAGTATCTGAATCTTGAACGCTTCAGCATCTCTCCTTGCCCCTGGGCTACCAACAACCAACCATCATCTACAATCGCTACTGCGCTGGGGAATTTGCAGCTCCAAGGGACTGGACTTTCTGTGGACACGATGGTCTTGTTCTGGATGCGGCCTGTGTCCTGGGCCTTCGCGCAGCGTCGCGCAGCCAATCAATCTGTCGATGTTTCTCCGAGGCCAAGATTTTTTCGACAAGTCCAAATTGCGTTTGTCTGAAGATAGGGTTCCCCACAGTTAGAAGGTTTCTCATCAAGGTCCCTATTCAAATGGAGGTTTCCATAAATGGGTGGTACCCCAAAATGGATGATTCATGATGGAAAATCCTATCAAAATGGTTTTGGGGCCCCCATTTTAGGAAACCTCCAAATGGAGATGTGGGGATATGATATATCATATATCCATAGTTAGGTAGATTCTATGCGCCTGTGGGTATAGGTTTCAAGTAGGTACAGGAGGGTCCATGGCAGGCCATATATATATATATTATATTATATTATATTATATTATATTATATTATATTATATATATATATCCCATTTTCCGAGGGCCCGCACGGTGATGTTCATGCGCTTCCCCGGGCGCCAGTCATCCTCTTGTTTTTCAACCCGGCCTTGCCAAGGCCATCCATATGGAACAGAAGGGAACAGCTTGACAGGCTGAACTCCACCACAATTCCATCATCTACGAAGCAAAGGAGAAGTGCTGCGACCCACCCCCAATAGTCTTGCTGCGCCTTTCTCGTTTTCAAACTTGAAAGGCTTGGTGTGTGCAGGCTGCTCGGACTTTTGCGCACCTGATGTTTGGGCCACTCGACCATAGAAGAATCATCATGCACGCCAACCAACCCTACAAGTACAAAAGCAAAACCAACCCTTCGTCCTGCATGCTGCATACAATTAATCCACTGGTGGACATCACGGATAAAATAAAAACATAACAAACAAACAAAAAACTACTGGGATGTTCAATCTTATATATATGTGTGTGTTATATATGTGTTTCCTCATGTTTCCTCCAAACCGAGTGAACCAGTGTGTTTCATCACTGTTCCATAGCCTATTCTTGCGGTGAAAACTTTTTCATGAAAACATTGAACAAACAACACCCATTTTGTGCGGTAAAACTCACCGGATTGCCACTGAAATCTGCAGCTTGGCTACTCTTTGAAGTGACCTTTGCTGTGGGCGCGTTCTTGGCACGCTGAGAGTAGGACATGGCGAGTGTAGCGAGTGCGACCCGGCAGGGTGCTCTGTATAATTCAGCTGCACGCACTATGTGTACTATGTGTACTATAGACCTATGATGACCTAATATATGATATATATGCAATACCTGTACCATCCTGTACCTATGCACACTTCTATGACATTCATTGATGGGATTCCAACATGATTTCTCTGATTAGGCTATAATTTACTTCCAGTCAGTTGTGTTATTGATGTTGTCTTGAAAGCTTGTCGATCATGATTCATCGATAGCCCTACTACTTGCCATTGTCCCTGAGCAACTCTGAGCTGCAGCGAGTTCGACGAAATCTCCCTTTTGATCCAAACTGTTGTTGGCATAGCTTCTACTTCATAACATCGCACTACCGTTGCATGCTTTGAAAACATCAAGCATCATTAACCCATGATGATCAGTGCCGACTTATCACTGATAACATCTGATAACCCCGAGATCAATTCAAATCATAAAATCCACAAATTCCAAACCGTCAATCCCCAGTATTGTCAATCACCCATTTGCTGATGAAACGCATCAGTGCCTTCTCATCAACTTGCTCAACCCGACATCACTACTCTCTCCTTCTCTCCACCTCACCTCCGGCAACTTAGGTATGGAAAATGGCCCATGTAAACAATGTATACCCTCTGGTACATTAACATAGCTATGGAAAATCACCATTGTTTATGGGAAAATCCACTATAAATGGTCATTTTCAAAAGCTATATATGTTAAATTACCAGAGGGTAGTCGATTCTGATTATCCCGGTTCAATGCCCAATTAGTTCGGGGATGTCCCAGCCAGCCAACTGCTTTTCATTTGGGCGTACTGGGGCTGCTGGGGCTTGTTGCAACTCGTTGCAGCCCCCGGCTTCCATCAGGCAGTTTCTAGTGCCAGACTGACTGTGTGGCAACTGGTGTCTTGATTAGAGATGTCAGCCCTATACAATATCAAACAAGAAACAACAGCAAATAAAACAAACCTTCTTCGCACTTTATAATTATAGCCTTAAAACATCTTGGAACTGAAGGTTGCAATTTACAGTATATCATAGACTATCAGTTTATATTCAATGGCCAGCACTAGCATGAAAAAAACACTTTTGTTGACGTATCTAGACACCAAAGCGTTCAATGAAATCTAGACCTTTCTTGCCGCCTCAACCACTCCCTTGATGGCAGGACCATTTCCTTAGGCACCAAGTCACCCCTTTTCACGTTGTCAGTTGTGTGGTTGTGTGTATGTGAGCCCTTCCCAACTCTGAGCTATTTCACTTCCCGTGCAAGTCCTGCGTGCAACGTTGAAACACTTGACCCGTATATGATCCTATGATATCCTATGTATGTATGGGCACTTTGAAGTTGTTGTCAGCAACCCTGATCTTGGAATCCAGGTAACCCAGGAGTTGTTAATAGTTGAATGATACGAATACAACATGTCACCAATCACATCCAATAGGCTGCAAACAAGCATCCGGCCGAATCTATGGATGTCAAACTTTCAAACGGCAGCTCAACGCAAACGTAGACAATGAAAACCAAGCGCGGCCATCAGTTACGAGAGAGTGATGCTGCCAGTCGGGCCAAGTCTTGCTTCAGGTAGGGAGGTGGTGGTATAACACCACCCAGGGATGTTATTAGCGACTTTAGCTCAGTAATTGACTTTGACATCATAGCTTCCTCGGCTGGACTCAGGCAGCCAGAATTCATCATCAATCCAGCTGGACCCAAATTTCCCATGCCCATCCCTTTGCCGCCCATGTTGGGACAAGCACCGCCTTTGCAACCGCAACCACCACAGCCTCCGCAACCACACCCACCCTGGCATCTGCATCCGCCGCATCCGCCGCATCCGCCGCATCCACATCCTCCGCATCCGCCACATCCGCTGCAACCGCAGCTGGGGCCGCAGCCAGGGCCACAGCCGGGACCACAAGGAGGACCACAAGGAGGACCACAAGGTGGACCGCAAGGAGGACCGCAAGGAGGACCGCAAGGAGGACCACATGGTGGAGGACCACAGGGAGGACCGCAGGGAGGACCACATGGTGGAGGGCCACAGGGTGGACCACATGGCGGAGGACAAGGCGGACCACAGGGTGGTGGACCACAAGGTGGTGGACCACAGGGTGGCGGACCACAAGGAGGACCGCAGGGAGGACCACAGCCACAGTTGCCACCGCAGTTGCCACATCCACAAGGGCCACAGCATCCACAACTTGGGCCACTTGGACATCCACATCCACAGCCACCACAGGGGCACCCTCCACAACCGCAGGGGCCGCAACCGCTGCATCCTTTACCACATCCGCTGCAGCTTCCGCAGCCACAACCGCAACACCCGCATCCACCACCACACCCCGGGACACTTGGCATGGGTGGGGGAGGTAAAGGACTGCAGCTTCCGCAACCCGTGCATGCACCGCAGCCGCCGTAACCGCCCATGTGCATGGATCCATTACTGCCAATACCAGTCTCATTGGACATGGCATCACCACCTCCTCCATGGTGGCCACTGTTGAAGTCACCATTTCCACCACCTCAGAATCAATAACTTTGATTCTGAGCTTGCAGCTTGTCACCAAAGACCATGATTTACGGAAGGTCAAACTAAGGATCGATCTCTGGCACGACTTTCATATGGTTGCATGCTCATGCTTTAGATATGTTAGATACGCAACGTTGGCAATGCCATTCATTCAGGGTTGGCTGCTATGGCTACAGCACGGGGCAACCTAGATAGTTTCCTTAGCAAAGTTTCTCATCTATCAGGCAGGCGCTTCCGACCCTATGAAAACCCTGGGTGCGAATTCATTGTCAGGTTGGCTGTTCGCTGGCGATCCTTGGTTAGGCTGTGGAGACCAGTCTATCAGCGTTCTGACGGCATGCCACATTCGAAGCTAGGAAAATTCAAACGCTGGTGCCAAGGTGCCTTGATCTAATCTCTGACCAAGACACACGGAGGCGTATCCAAGGAGCAAAAGCAACAGGTCTAAAAATGTGTGGCAATGAAAGAGCTCCTTAAATTCAAGGGGTTATCCCAGCTCGTTATCCCTATGTAAATACTCAATGTATGTACACAAAGCAATCACACAGCTACATCATTCGAGAGCAACATTCATGAATTGAATGTTTATCTGAACACATTTTAGTTTGTAATCATCAACAAGTACACCCGCCAAGTGCATACTCGCCTGCTTGTCGATCTCTTTGCAGGTTGAGCTCTAAAGTAACACATGACGCATTTGTTAGGTCTTTAAGGAGCTCCTTCATTGACTTGCCAAGGGACTAGGAGCAGTGGGGCCAGCGTTGTTTTTGTCCATTTGCTTCGCTTGGTATTCCTGCTGCCTCATGGCTCAGGCTCTCACCAGATTTCACCGCAACCGCTCAGCATCGCTCATCGATCAAAAGGGACCACAATGATTGTTTATCATTTGACTGTTTATCATTAGCCAGAAACTTTGTTTACACACGGCGCACGGGTCCACGATTCTTTGGCTAACGTGCCAGGATGCTGTTGTTCCATCATCTTTCGAATCTCTGCGTCCATAGGGTCCTCATCAGCGTCTCCAGACCTGAGCCAAACAGGTAAATGTGGGCAGTGGAGGGCAGCAAAGAAACCCAAATCCCAAAGCAACTACATCAGCGACGTCAAAGGACTCAATGACACATCGAACATTGAATACTGCGGTGCGAAAATCATACATGATGTCATGATGTCGTGGACTTTTTTGCTGAAGTGCCCGCAGGGCTTCACCATTGAAACATATTGAAACGGGAAGCAGGGGGCTCCATGCTAAAGCCATCAGCAGTTGTCATCCCCTGGGACATCTGCCCAGGAGTCGCAACGCTGCCAAAACATCGAAGATGCACTGGCTCAGAGTGGCCCACTCCTCTCACTCCAAGGTGCCCTCCTCCATCAGTGCCAGTGGTGAGCGGGCGGATTTGGTGCGGAAGATCACAAAGGCGGCTCCAAGAACCGCAGCACCCAAAGCACCCAGGAGAGCTGAGGGGAGATGAAACTTGACACTGGACACTGGAGCCATTTGGAGGTACAACCGAGACGTGGCTTCCTGCTCCTTGCACGCGGCCGTCATTCCCGTGTAAGTCGCCGCAGACGTGGCGGCTGAGTCCAAGGTTCCGATGGCCTTTTGGAACTTGCCCAGGTAGTGCTGCATCGTGGGGCCATCATTCAACTTCTCCAGGTCACCGGCCATGTCGGTCGCTTGCGCCTGGATCTTTGCCACGGTGTCCTTGGCGTCCGCGGAATCCTTTTGCACCTCGGCTTGGACCTTGCTCAAGGAATCCACCAAGCCGCAAATTTGGGTCTTGGTCGCCTCTAAACCCTTTTGAATTGCAGCCTTCTCCTCATCACTTGCAGTGAGCATTTGGGTGGGGAAGTTGTTGATCTTCAAGCTCAATGGCAAAATATCCTTGCTCAACGAAACCACCTTGTCCTGCAACTGATCTGCGGTGGTTTGGATTGAAGACGACATTTTATCCAACTGCTCGGGGGTGAACTCCGCCACGGCTGTGAGGCACAGAGTTGCGATAATGCGCCACATGCTGGAGAAGTGGGGTGATGAAGAATGCACGGGAAGAGCCAACTTGAACCAAACTTGAGCCAACCATGATCAATGCAAGAGTAGAACAATGTAATTCACCCTTCAGTCCCTATCCAGCCTTCAATTGCTGATATCACACTGATAACCATCATGCCCGTCTTCGCTTTCCTGGATGGTTTTCCAACATCCATTATCCATCCCACAATTTATCATAGTTTATCATCATTGGAAAAAATGGTCAACTATCGTAAACTATATCAATGTTGGACATGTATTACTGTATCATAGTTTGTAATCATTGGAAAGTGCCAATCATTTTTTATATATTGATATATATATATATATATATATTGTCATTTTCCCAGCTATGGATTGGGGGCTTATCATCATTGGAAAAGATCGCCCAAATCCCGTCCAAATCACCGTGGAAATGAATCCAATCCAAGTTGCCCAGGTGCTTCGGGCGCTGCACCTGGCATCATTGTTGATGATAGAATCGAAACACGCATACAATATGTGTATGCATATGTGTATATATATATGCATGATTTGGATTGGTTTGGAGCTGCCTGGAAACATGCACTCATATCCATACATCATCCATACATCATCCATGTCTTTCCGTTCCCACCTCCTGGCGGCTCCGGTGGGCCCAAGCCCAGCTTCATGGCTGCGGTGGAGGCCGCCTGGAGCATGGAATATCTTTGAATCCACAAAATCAAAAAAAAAAAAACATCATTTGGAACATATCAAAAAATCATCCATTTGTTTGACATTTTTTTTTGGATCCATGTGGGTAATATGTATTTAACAGCATCCAACAATTGCATGGCGCCTCGTTGAGGTGTTGCGGCTTCTCATCCTTAGTGCGGAATAGAACGGTTTTCACATCCTGCGTTTGAGAGGCAAAAGAAAACCTCTAGTGGTTTATAGTGGTTTATAGTGGTTTGTAGTGGTTTATAGTGGTTTATAGTGGTTATATAATCCATGTTGTAGGGACATAATCTATCATCAATCGATAAGTGGTTTTAACCGTGTTATGGAGACATAGCGAGATATGAGTGGGACATATGATCTATAAGTGCAATAATATGATATGGACATATATCTGGGTAAATTATAATAATTCACTGAACTGAATTAAGGCCATTTTGGGATGATTCCTCTTACTAACCATGATTATAGTGAGGTCGCAGTGAGGTCGTTATAATTTACCGAGATATATGGACATGGCTCCAAAATCCGGGAGGTGATAAACCTCTGGATTTGGGGTGCCATACAATTCATAACACACCCACATGGTTTCTGGGACACCATCCCCTTCCGGATCTTCCATCAAGGGGCTGATTTGTTTTTGCTCATGGCAGTCTCCTTCCAGCAATGCTTCCGAAGTTGCAGCCGCATTCCCAACAGCAGATTGCTGAATATTGCTAATACTGATTTATCTTGTGAAACTCCCAAAAAACATAACAAACATGCAAACCAAACAGCCATACACAGCCAGTTTCCAGTTTCCAGTTTCCAGTTTCCAGTTCGTAGAATGCTTTGAGTCCCAATTTTGTCCCTTTCTGCAGTTGGCACATGTTGGCACATGCAGCGTGTCCTGTGCCACTTTCAGCTTATCTCTTTGTACCTGCCAGTGCCATGTGCTTCCACTACCTTCTGGTAAACTAACAGTTCGCTATTCAAAATTGCCATTTTTAGTCTTTATAGTTGATTTACCCATAAAAAAATGGTGATTTTCCACAGGGGTATTTCCTGGTTCCTGTTGCTTCCTTAAGCTCCAACGAAGCACGTGGCAGAAACGCGGGGCCCTGGGCCTTCTCCATCTTGACCTGGGCGTCCTGCACTTTTGAGGCGGGAAAATACACATTTAGGTATACACATGTATATTGATATACAGCCACGCACATGTGTATATATATACACATAGATGGATGGATGGATAGATAGATAGATAGATTGATTGATTGATAGAATGAATATATACACGACATGTTCTATTTAGGTCATTGCATGTCTATTAATATCTATTCATAAAGGCATAAAGTGAACTCGACGCTGGAGCCGGGGCGCCTGCTGCTCAGCATCTTCGATGGTTCCCCCTGGAGGTGGCTGACCTCTCACCTGCCCTGGGTGGTTGTAGAGGCATGCCTTGCAGTCACTGTGAGTCTCGTGCGGCCAATGATCATTGCGGCCAATGATGTCCATGAAACTGCCATTGAACATCATTGTATATTTTTGGAATCATTTGGAATCTTGACATATTTTTGGAAACTTTTGGATATTTTTGGGATATATTGGAGATTTGTTGGAGATCCATCATCAGGGTTTCATCAGTTATCATCAGTTATATTCAGTGAACTGCTATAGATGCTATAGAATTTGCTCGGTTGCTGGTCGTTGCTGTCAAGGTGCTGGTGTGGTACATCGCCTCGGCAGGGAAACACCGGGAATGATACCCTGATGAAGATGATACTCCCATTGAAACTGGGGTATCTCAGGGTATCTCAGGGTATCTCAGGGTATCTCAGGGTATCTCCACTCATCTCCACAATTACATCATTGTTTTGAAGAGAGATGAAGAGAGTAAGTAGCCCACTCTGCCAGCATACACTTCGTGGCAAAGTAGTCATCAAGCCATCCTTGGTCAACAGTTTTGGGAGATGGAGAATGGGATAGTGCAGTGGTGCTGCTATTGCCGTACCGCATCTCACCGATATCTTATGCTTTTGGCCTTTTGGCCATAGACAGGCACAGAACACTAGTCACTAGATTCCTTGTCTTAGATCTGTATATGCCACCCCTTCTATGCTGCTAATCCCTCTCTCTCTCTCTCTCGAGTTTGGCCATCTGCGATTTTCAAAATTTTCCTGGCCAGGGATCGCTGCTTCTCGGCCTCATCTGAAGGATGAAAATTGGTGCACTTGGAATACAGCTTGCCTGGCGGCCGCTCCAGGATGCCGGGACATTGTTTGGCATAAGATTGCAGCCAGATCAAAATGATTCTGAAATTGGCTTCATCACTCTTGCTCTATCCATCTTTAGAACTTCGAACAGTGTTTATCTGCCATCATTACTTTGCATGACTGGTATTATCTGAAAGCGAGTGCATGCAAGATGACATACGTAATCAAAAGTCCTTAGACACATATGTTATCATGTGGATGTGTGTATAATTTGCACATATGTGTATAATGTATAACATGACTAATTACTCATTATGACTCAATGGAGCACTTGTCAGCATTTCAAGATACGCCAAGCCGCAATGCCCCTGCAAAAAGAAGACCTTAGTACAAAAGAATGGGCAGCAAATGGGCTGGGAATAGAGCCATTTATCAAAATTTATGGCAACCCCCACAAAGATAGGAAATTAATTCGTGGGATTTCATTTTCCTATCTTTTTGGGCATGACTATTGGACGTTTAATGGGGTCACCATGGTGTCCCCTCTACTAATCATCCATCTCTTTACGGCAGAGCAGTTGCAACTTGTGTCACGTGGCCCCAAATCATTCTGCCCTGTATCTGCTGACAAACCCCAGCGCCAGGCGGCACAAGCTCTATCTCTGGAGGCGTGGAGAGTCTTGATGGCATTGGCACGTGCTAAGGCAGCCCTGAAAACAAGCACATCTTGGATAATCTTGGTGGCACGGGGGAACTTTCGTGCAGGTTCAAATCGTCCAAGAATAGCATGCAATAATATGCAAAATCATCATATTGCACTGATCACTTCTCAGCTACCTGCATCATCCTGCACTCATGTTGCCAACTTTTTAACCTCCAGCTGCTGAAGTTCAAGGTCCCTGAACCCCATAGCCTCTTAGCCGCTTCTGCTAGCACGTCAGCTGTCAGAAGGCCACTGCCTGCAAATGGACACCATTTTACTCTCCTCCTGTATAATGGGTTTACACCCATATTATAATGAATCTACACACATGATTATAATGATATTATATTAATATCATTATCCTTGTTATTATTGATGCTGTTACATTTATAATAATACTATTACCTCTCTCTCTCGATCGCCAATCTACCATCAGAACATGCAAGTCAAGTTCTGTTCAAATCTAGTTGGATCTATAGTCAAATCTGACAATGAATCTATGATTTGTGTCCTATTTTCTTTTAGAAACTGGTGTCTTATAAGCGGCCCTTCAGAAGGCCTCAACGACCTGTGAGTTCCATGTTCCAATTGGCTCCCCATCGCCTTCATTCTTTGAGTCCAGGCTTTGTGCTGAAGCACCTTCAGCACAGCTCCCCGTGGCATACCGTGGCCTACTTAAAATGGTCAACTTTGGAATGATGCTGTTAATCTGTTGATGCTGTTTGAATCACTTGGAAAATAAAAAAGGAAGATGTTAAAGAGCACTTGCAAAAAATCTAGAGATACAAAACTAGATGAGGATATATTTTAGATATTTTTAGACGTCGTTAGCGACCCTTGTGTCATTTACAGACTTTGGGAACAACCGGGTACAACTCTCTGGCAGCGGCCGCCAGCACCTTGCCCTTTGCCATCGTTGACTTCGTCGCCAGGTCTGCCTCAAACATCAGGTGATGGCTGACACAACCTACAAGTCCTTCTACATCATCTGCTTCAAGATTATAATATGTGTGTGTAAATGTATGCGTTCATCTGTCTATGTAATCTATGTATCTATGCATGTATTTATCTAATTACGTAAATTTAACATGTTTAACTTAATCATTCTCATAGGCCATGATAAATATATATCATTACTACCATACTACAGATATTATACAGTAAATCATGCTGCATCATGCTGTGCAGTGAACATCCCCAAATCTTGTAACTCAACTCTGGGGCCACCATCAGGCTCAGGCCAAGGAACTCCTGTCATCGCCCCGACCTGGGCTCCATCTTCCATCACGGCCATTGCGGTCCCTGTCATCGCGCCCGTCACGACCGTCGCGACCGTCGCGCCCGTCACGACCGTCGCGACCGTCGCGGCCAGCACTGCGGCTGTAGCGCCGCGGGCTGGGCCGACGGCCAGGGGAGCCGCGCCTCATGTTCTCTTGGAAGGGGCATGGGGTTCTACCAAATTCATCCAAATTCCAAGTCACAACAAATGCCATCATACATGCAATTGATACGATCCAAGAATATCTCTCTAGAATTCTCTAGATAACCTCTGGGCATTCCAAAAAGATCCCAACAAATTTGAAAGAAAACTATGAAAAACAAACTCTGCCTGGGTGAGCGCCGTGGACTCCTCCTCAGTGGACTCCGCCTGGGTGGACTTCGTCGCCGCGAGTTGCCACGAGACAGGCGCCGCGGGGGGGTGCGCCTGTCGCGGCTGCCACGCGAGCGTCGGGGCGGCGTGCGCCGGCGGCTGCCGCTGCGGCGCCGTGGTGGGGAGCGCCGTGGTGGGGAGCGCCGCGGCGGGCTGTGCGGACGGCTGCCACGGGGCGCTGTGCGGCTTCGGCTGCGCCTGGCACTGGATGGTTCTGATGACGGAGGCAACTCAACATCCAAATCTTGCAACTCACAGAACATACGACAAATGTATACAAATGTTTATAGAATTTTGCCTTACTGCATCTTACTGCCAACACGGTGGGCTGATCATGACAAGCCCATTCCAATACACCGCTGTTGAGCCTGGGAGAGAACGATCGCTGGTAGCCCATGTATAGTTATCTCACAAAGTCCTTGCTTGGTTATGTGCATCCGATGTCTGAAGGTTTGCCGCAGAGATGCTGGTGGGTCAGTGGGTCAAGAAATACATAGAAATACCAAAAGCCACTAGCCTATAGAGCTACCACGTTGATGAGCTGGACAGGAATAACGGCTGGTCGGTGGTAGTTGTGGCTTTCAGCTTGGCTGGATGGTGGCTTTGAGTAGGCAGTTGATGGCAATCCTTATAGAATAGAGCCCAAGAAATGCCTGCAAAGCGGAGTTCAACTTGCCAACAGCTGGCTAGAATGATCTATAATAATGATCTATATAAGAGTTTACCAGGCAGCGCAAAGGCTCTCCTTGTGTTTTGCAAGCTCGCACCATGTCCTAAACTAATAGCTGCACATGATTGGCACATATCCATCGTATCCCAAGTGCGTCCCAATGTCTTCGCAAATTTTGAAACCTGCAAGGCTTGCGTCATAAGTCGATATGGACTAAACTATTGAAACAATCCGTCATTCTGTCCCGTCTTGTCTTGTAGCTGCACTTCACCCGGCTGGACGCGACAGCTGATTTTTTGCCAGAAACTCTGCTCTTATGGCTTCAATGGCTGCACGGTGCTCTGACGAAATGGGCTCCTCGAGACCAGATGCAGCTTCCAGCAAAATAGTTTGGCAATCCCAAGATATCCCAAGTGGATCCCAAGTGTACCCAATGCTTGGTGATGTTGGTGGTGAAATCCCCATGCTTCATGGTTAATAAACCCCGCTAGACCCCAAACATCCAAGAAACATCGCAGCAACATGCAGCAACCAACATCTGCAACTGAACCGTGACTTCGGAATCCATATTAAATCAGTCGGACATAGTCTGACAACATCTCCCTTGAACAGTCCCCAATGTCTCCAGCAACATCAAGATCTCTTGAAGATCTGCAGGCAATGGACAAGTGACTTGAAACGGCCTCCCAGCCTGGGAAGGGCCAATCGGACTGAGTTCTAGAGGCCAGAAGGCAGTTTGCCGAGATTCCATCAACTTCGAGTTGGGATCACCTGCCTTTTCACCACCAGGCCAAGTTTGGGGTGTGGTCATGATGTCCCCAGGACTTGTTTCAGGTAGCCTTGTCTCACCACTAGTTGAATCAGAATCATGGTGAATCCCCCATGGATTCGACCTGGCCAAATCCAAGCTCCATACGGTCAGTGCCAGCTTTGCCGAATGCAGGAAAGTGCGGGAGCACCTCGGCACCCGCTATCTCTCGCTGCCGCCATGTTGAGCCATGTTGAGCCATGTTGAGGGCCAAACCACTCTGCATCACCCCCATAGCCAGTGTCACCGACCTAGGTGGCGAGTCATGGCGAGTCTTCTCGCCTTCCGACGGAAAATCACCGGATCCAAGCGGCTAAAGGATGACCTTCAAAAGCCAAATGAGCACGAATCCTGAGGAGCGGAGGATGGTTTGCACCATGAGAGTTGACGTGTGCGGATGTGTGCGGTACATAGGATTGTCGTTTTTCAATTAAAATTGTGTAGTTCCAGTTTGACAGCTGACAACTGCCAATTTTCGCTCCCAAATGTCAGCCTTCGACTCTTCGACAAAAACAAGAACCATTAGGATTGAGACTGAGGCCGAACCACAGGCATCAAAAGGTCCGCAAATACATTAAATAATTTAAATACATAGAGAATCATAGAGATTGATAGTATGTATATGGACCAAATTGTTCCTGGCCTAGTGAACTGGGAAGCTGGCTGGTGCTGCCTGCCAGTATGAAGACGGACCTTATGAGCTGCCACAAGCGGCTGCTTTCCAGCCAAAGTTGGAAAGTCTTTCAAATTAGTACGCGACTCTCAGGAAATGCCCCCGCCTTGATATATACACAGGAGACATTGCATGCGGAGTTGGGAAAAGAGAACCACATACATGTTCAATATTTTGACTCCGACCATCCCTGACATCTATGGCATTTTACGGTTGCATTGCCTTCAAGTTCCAGCAGCAGCAAGCCCCCTCAACTTTTTAACACTGGCTCTGTGAGAGCAAACCCTCGGGTGAAACCGCTGCCTGCACCTTTTAGATGCAAACGCGCAGCCCGCCTTTGCTGGCAGAGAACAACTGGCGATTCCTAAGGACAGCGGCACATCTTGTACCGGCTTCCAAGGACCCAAAAAAAAAACGCCAAAAGCGAAAATCACATGATATCTAAAAAGTGATGTTGGAAGTCTTTGCTGCCAAACTTGTTGCCATTTGTTGCCAAAAACATAATTTTCGACTTGACCTAATTTGATATGAATGAATAACAATATTGGTAATCATTCAACCTCATTGAAGAACGCTTTACCATATAGAAACATATAGACAACATAGATGATCTTTTTTTGTTGCTGTCCCTGCTTGGGACGTTGGACAATGCCTGGAACTGCTTTCGAGCCCGGCTTTGTCAGATCCGATCCTCCGATCCGCTGCGCGACGGCACCGTCGTTCGCCATCTGGTGGCAGCACCCTTAGTCAGGAGATCCCACATCAAATGTACCGCAACTCGCAGCCTTCCGGTAAAGCTTGGCAAATCGCTAGTTTTTTTTTTTTTTGTGGAAAATGGTGGAAAATCACCATTTTGAAGAAGTACTATAAACCATCGAAATATATGGGCCATGGCTTCCACAGCAAACTGTTAGTTTACTTGGGGGTATCATACAGTAATTAATGGAATGGGACATTATATATAGAATCATGTCATCTGATTGGTCATATATCCCATGATCTTCCATGGCCATGATATTCCCATAAAATAGTCTCATGAACTATTTTCATGGTGGTTGGCCCGCCCACCATTAACCCTATCATTAACCCATAATATTAACCCTATTATTACCCCTAGTATTAACTATTAACCCTAGTATTAACACTATTGTTAACCCTACTAACACTTATCAATGACCACTATTAATGCAATGACTGAAATGAGATACGACGACCGAAATCAACGCCGAGCAACTCAAACGGTGCGGGCCTCCGAGGTGGCGTACCATGATGCAAAGTGCTCAAAGTCACAAGCTTGAGCCTGGACAAACTGGGACTGGTAATGACTGGTGTGTATATATATATATATATAAAGTATATACATGACCTATCTATCTATCCATCCAGCCATCTATCTATCAATCTATCTGCTCATCCAATCCAATCCAATCCACCTGTCTCGACTATGGTCAACACCGATTTAATTTAAACATCCATCAATGACGTTTTCTTTGGACATATATATATATCTATAGATATGCAGTTGAAATATCATGTATGATGCTGAAGATTGTGATGATGAATGATTACTCAGTGGGTTGGAGGGCATCCTATTTTCAAACAAGCTGGTCCGAGGACTGCTTTGAGGACGCACTGATGATTGATCTCCATGACTGATCTGACTCACATCGACCGATCATTGACTGTGAAACTTATACGTGACTTGAGTGACTTGGCTTCAAACATAAATAATAGTTCACTAACCTGAAATGTTCGGCTTGGGATAGTTGCCCCAATACAATTCCCATTATTGCAGTGCCGTATAGATGTGGACCTGCGCAGCTCCCCACATGACTCTTGCCTTGCGTACATCTTCTTGTGCCGGCATGGTCTTGACTGCTTGTTCCCACCTTAGCTGCAAGGCCTTCTGGCGGTGGATGCAGTCTGCAAACCCAAAGGATCCATAATAATATATGTAGTATACCGATTAGTGTCCTGGGACTCTATTGTGAGAAAATGTTCAAAAATAATTGAGTATCTTGCGAATGGGGGGGCCTCTATTGTGAGAAGTTTTTTATCAGATCCAATTCTTTTAGGAGGAGCTTTATCCACCTTTATACACCTTTCTTTGGGTAAAGCTGGTCCATTTACTTTAGAAAGCCATATCTATAGTAAAGCCTTGAAAATGCAAGGTTTCCCAAATAATTAGATGCCTTAATAAACCCGCCCTTATTAAAAAACAGCACCCAAAATAATGTAATTGTTTCGATGGTACTCGTCTATTGTGCACAAAAACTTTGGTGTTTTTTTTGGATTTGAAAGGAACATCAATTGAAAGTAGATTTATGTCAATTGAAATGCTTACTTATATAAGTTGACTGGCTATCCTAAAAATTGTTCAGGGGGGGGGTCGTCTAAAATGGTGATTTATTGAGTACCCGCAAATTGTTGAGGGGGGGCATTAATCAGTAGCCAACACTAATAATATTAATTATGAATCCTTACCTTGCGCTGATATTTTGTACTAACCAAATAGCCTGGTCAAGTGTATACAGTCATCGTTTTTTCTCCTTCTCCCTCTATAATACGTTTCGGTCATGCTCGGTTCAATGATCTCCGATGCCCCTTCTGTGGCTGTCCAGCGTCAGTGACAAGGGTTCAATGAGCAAAAGGCACCAACTATGTGGATCCCTATGGCCGTAGCTTATATCAGTTTCAAACTACCCTCTGGTAATAGAACATGGCAATCGAATTTCCTGCATTTATCGGGAAGGTTTCAATGATTCTCGCATATTCTCGCATTCTCTCCCAATTTTTACACTTCCATTTGTAAAAGAATTCTCCATTACGAATACCAATCAATCAAGGCACCAGTAGTTCATGTCACTCTCAGAGATTGTGCCTGGGAGGTGCCCCAAACCGCGGCAGCGTGTGTTTGTTGACAGGGTTGACAGGTGGCCAACCGATGTTGTTGATATTGAGACGGAATGGGATATCATGGAAACCAATATCAACAATATGGGACATGGATTTCTCTGCATTCATGGCAAGGCCAAGGAAATGGCAAAGCAAAGGATATAAAATGGCCAGAAATATCACTAAATTTGAAGAATACATCACCACCACCATCCATATATAATAAACAGTATGGGAATGGGTCTGTCACATGTATATCTTTTCTCAAATATCCATTTGACATCTGTTTTGTTATGATATACCACCATGTAACATCACATTATAGAGAATTGCCTAACACCAACGAAGTGACACTCCCATCCGGATAAATATGTTAAACATGATAATATCAATGATCCTTTTACATTTATGTTTGAAAATTGCGATCACTATTGCGGGCATCATTTATACCTATTTTGTGGCCATTATTTCAACGTTAAATACAGTATATTGCGGGGATCTCCCATCATTCTCCCCAGCAACAAGCCATGGCCAGGTCACGCCCTAGGCACAAAGAACGGAGGAGACGTTGGAAGCCCTGGGAAGTGACTGGCAAAGTTCATACAGATTCTGTTATAGTCGATTATAGTTTCGGGTGATTTATCAAATTTCATTGTTTTTTTTGTTGATTTCACCATTTATAAGTATAATATGCAAGTACAAGGTTTTAAGATGTCTCTCTCTCTCTCTCTCTCCATCGCCATCCCAAGGGTCCAGTGGAGGGTTTTAAGTTTTAAGATGTTTTCAGGGATTTTATAGGGTGTTGACGATTTTAACTGTGGAAAATCAGATTATCACCAGCAACATGACACAAATCGTGCCAGTCAGAGGCCTTCTTCAGAATAAGGTCAGTCTTGTCTGCTTGGGCAGTAAATTCCTGAGATCAAGATCAACGGAAACGTGTGGAAAGGAATCCTGGATGCACCACAAATGAAGCAACTGGTGGTTCACTATACTCAGACCAAATATCACTATACTCAGACAATGCAATCGTGACATCATTCCTGTCAGATTCTCTCAATTTCTTCACTTTGCGAAACATGTATGCCTTATATTGCCTTATGATACGTATGATACTGTATATTGAGTTGTTTAGAGTTTTGTTGCCACCCCCCTTCGCAACATGTCACTGCCGAGCCAAGAATCTCGATGTAGAAATTCCACCGTATCTTCATCCATTTTGCATTGCTGAGCGATGGCCTTCATGGATTTTTTCGCCTGCGCTGTCGGTTGGTTCCGTTTCAATGAAGCCCTGCACACGAACCTCTGAGATAATGCCCCAAAACAAATGGAATGAACAACATGCACAGTAGATGTATGATGTGTGTAGCCATCTGTTTGTACTTGTTGAACAATGGAACTGTGTTTCAATGACTTACCTGACTTAATGACTATAAATAATAATAGTAATAATAACAACAATAATAATACACATATTAGAAAAAATGAAAAGAAATAGTAATAATAATATGTAATAATAATAATAATTAATAATAGTAATGATAGTAATAAAAATAATGATAATTATAATTTATACAATTTATATATATATATAAATTTATAATTATAATATATATATATATATGCATGTATAAGCGTCATTAATTATTAATCTAATTTGACCGATCCCTCGGCCTGCCCTGGCGCTTCAGCCTCCTGGCGTGCAGAAAAGCAGGTCATCAGCAGGTGACACGGTTTTCAGGAGTGAGGTGTCCGACAGGTCCGACAGGTCCGACAGGTCCGACAGGTCCGACAGGTCCGACAGGTCCGACAGGTTAGGAATAGGGATAGTTGGACTCTAAACCCATAGGATCCATGGTGCTGCTATATATGATAACATTTACCATCAATATATCCCCAATGTTAGCATATATGCCAGCACCATGGATCCTATGGGAAATGAAAGTCTTACCCGTCTTACTGCCTCTTACCATGTTTTTTTACCATGTTTTTAGCATGTTTTTAGCATGTTTTTAGCATGTTTTACCTATAACATCTTAGGATATTCTAGGGATAATTACAGGATCATTCAGGATACAGGTGGATACAGGATGATCAGAATGATACAGGGTATTCATCATCGCACTGTCTTCTTGCACTTTTTGTTGTGGCCTGCCTGGCTGGTCACCATCCTCTGCCCCATGGATTCCCAACAAAGGATTCCCCCAGCCTTGCTGCCAGTCATGGATGGTCCCATGCCACCCAGTGATAGGCCAACTGCTGTGGCAGCGTTCTTTCGATCTTCTTCCATTTGTTTGCGCATCACTGGCTCCTGATAACAGCAGTGCTGTTATCAAGTGGCTAAGTGGCTGGTAGCTACGGCAAAGCAACACCAAATTCATCACCTTCACTTTTGAGTATCCAAACCGTACGTTGTCTATGACAAAGGCAAGTCCAGCTGCTTGCATGGCAATACACTGCCGTGCTTCGCGTGCTTCCAGGGACACAGCATGGCATGGATTAAACCGATGTTGTTGCATCAAACCGATCGAAGGAAATCTCAAGAAACTAATGTTGCAAACTTAATGAAAAGCCATAAATGGTTCTATAAATAATCCCCAAATTGTAGTCGTTTTGTTTGCTTTCCAACATTAACAACTACTCGTTTGATGGCCGTAACAACATGGCTACCGCGGCTACCTGGTCAACTTCCCCAAGGTCCAAGGTGCCATGGTCAGTGACCACAGTTTCTGTCTTGAATCGTGGAGCTGGCGTCGCTGCTCTCGCATGTCCTTAGCCGAGGGAAACTGGTGATGGCCTGGAAAGAAGCTGGTTGCGGCTCTCAAACAGATTCAAATCGGAATCGAAAGCTGTAGAAATTTCCTGATCCACCACTGCGTTCCACATGCGAAAGTTCCACATGCGAAAGTTCCACATGCGAAACAGATGGAAACAGTTTCCAACGCTGCCCACTGAACAGTCAAGAGTCGTAAACGACCTTCTGAATGTTTCGAACCGGATCATTGACCTGCCCAGTCGACCAAGCTATATGAGATGAAGCCAGGGGGGCTGCCCGAAATCCTGATTTTCGGAGAACACAAGTCTTGCGAAAATCCCACGGTTGCAAGGTTTGGTATAGCTACTACCCTCTGGTAATGGCTGACATAGCTATCGGAAATTGCCATATATATATATATATAATATATACTTGATTTACCCATACAAAAATTGTGAGTTTCCATAGTTATGTTAGTTTACCAAAAGGATCCAGAATCCAGAGGGTATATATGTGATCATTCTTATACGTATATTGTTTACCTGGCTTGTCTGCTTCCTGCCAGCTTTTCACTCGGAGCGCTCCTCATCGTTGTAGGTCTTTTTGCAAAGTTTCACTTCTGCGGAACCTGGTCAGTGAGACCTTTACGCAAGATTTCTTAATCAAACTCCCAACATCTTCCGGCGCAATAACAAATCTGTGATTGTGCCAGCAAGTGATGGAATCTCTGAGATCATGTGTGAGATCGTGACACTGTCACTTACTATGTCATAGAGACAGCAAAATACCACAACAAAGAACAATGTCAACATCACATCCTAAAGAAAGCGCATATACGCAAAGTCCACTCCCTTACTGCCAAGCCAATTCCAAAATCTTCGGAAATTGCTTGAATTCTTCCACCATGATCCAGTGAGTATAGTGAGTGATCCAGAATCATCAGAGCCTATCAGAGCCAAGATCTGCCAAGTCTGCCAAGTCGCTAAATGTATGAACATCTTCCAAATCTTTTGGCCCAGTCCCACGTGGCAAATGCGCTGCCACGATCTCACGGCACCGTGCGTCACCTCAAAAAAGGGCGATTGTAGCGTCGCCGCGTGTCGCAGCCCTTGAGGCCGTGGCTGGGATGCCATGGTATACCAATGGATGGACCGATGTTGTTGGAATCTAATCATCCACTTGGAGGTGATTACAAAATGCATCAAAATGCTTAGCCATTCCCCAATTTTAACATGTTAACCCGCAAGGAAGCTACACATACTTTGTCCATGATGTGTCCGTAAGAGTTAAGGGCTCGTTTGTCATGGTCATGGTGTTCCTTGGATGTCAGCCCTGGTGCATTCCGAACATTCAACCACGATCAACCACGATATTTTTGGAACGAAGACACCACACCAAGCACGTCTATCGCAACCTCATCCTCACAAAACCATCTATCTGTGTGGGCTTGTGGACATATGATAACGCAAAATCATATGTAATTGACGATTGATCATAAAAATCCCTCTGTTGTTAATAGCGCATGTTCATTTTAAGGGTATACATGGGTATACCCCATTTAGAGACACCATGTACCATATTATATTGTTGGTGACATCTCCAATTTTATCCTCATGATCGTTGCTTTTAACTTTAAAAAAATAAAAATATATCATGATATATCAACATCACTGTATAATATAATTATATATTTAGATCCCTCTCTCTCTCCCTCTCGCTCCATATATATATAATATCTATATCTATATATATATATATACATACTCATTTTAATCCAGTTTACTCCCACCAACTGCTTGGTTTAAAAACCCAGGTTTTTCCATTGTCAGGTGACTCTTGCCACGATTTTTGAGGCGATGAATGGTTGATGCCATCCACTTTCGGAGCTCGCTGGCACTGTCGTGCTTCTCCTAGGCACGACAGTAGCTACGCCACGCTGATCAATGGTGGAAACACCTTTAAAAAATAGGGGTGGATTTAGATGTGGAATTGCTAGGGGATATGATTTAGATACATGGCGTTATTAGGGTTTATGATGACTCACATAGACATACACGTATGGAATTGCCAGGTTTTCCCAAGCTTTATACTGACTCACATGCATTTGCATATTTATTCACACATGGATGAAGTCCAAAATTTGATGTCAGGACTGTCAGGACTTCTCCAATGCTTCCATGCCATCACACGCGCCGCGGCGGGCCGTCAAGTATCAGAGGTGCTGTACAGGAGCTCCAGTTCTGCCTGGGCACCCGTTGTCCAGTGGCACTCTGTGCCATGATGTCTACAACTGTCATCAATTCTCCATCAACTCCATATGATGTTCCACAATGTTCATCATATTTCATCATGTTTGCACATGGAGCATCTTCACTCTCAATTTTGAATATCTCCCGCCTCCGGTGTGGTTGGCTGCCATTTGGGTCCGCGGGTGCTTTCCAGGTCACGGTTCCTCTCCACCCAACGTTTCCAAAATTCTGGCGTGCTCACTCGTTCCTGCTCCTGGATCGAGGCCGCTGTCAGGTGAGAGCCACGACTGCTATGGGTGTGGCGAAAAAATTGTTATACCCAATACATCCCAATACAATAGTTCAATAGCCATTTTCATCGGAAATGATTACCATTTAGCATCAAATTTGGGAATACCCAATGTTCAGACAAATACCCAATTTGGGAAAAGAACTGGACAAAAACCATGTAGGAAAAGAACTGGCATGTGGTCCTTCTCTTCCATTTCTGGAAAGAGTTCTGAGAAAACGATCACACCATCTTTGTCCTGACAGGCCAAGTTGGACCCGAGAGTTGGTGGCGTCCTCCACCGCGAGTTATGCGAAAAATGTCTGATTGTGCCCAGAGCATCTCCATAGCCAAAGCCTTCTCAAAGTGAATTCTGTTCCGCGAACTACTGGATCTTTGGGATACTTTGGGATATTTTTTTGGGGGTTCTACAGGAGTGACATTTCATCTCCCCAAGACATGCCGAGAATGTGTTCAAATTTTGTCTTCAACACCTCCAGGGATCAAACTTTGGACCTGTCAAGTTCCCGCTGTCCAGATCAAAAATCTTGAAGAGCTCTCGAGGACGAGTCATTCCGGTCATCTCTTGCCAGTTGATTCCTAACCTGGGGCACCCGGGATAGTTCTGCGGATGCCGAAGGATCCGAAGGTGCAAAACCATTGGTTTCCCAAGGTTGACGGATGGTTGACAGGAAAACGCCGAATGGTTTTCGTATTGCAAATGGTCTCAGCCACCCTACATACAAAGTATATAAAAACATGAAAAATAACCGTCTTAAACGTCAGGATCATCCGTGAAACGGCAAACATCAGCAACTTGAGGCATCCCACCTCGCTACTCCATCAGCAAACTCTTGCAAACCTTGGGGCCAATGGAATGAGCAAAACAAACTGTACCTCTGCATCTGGTGATTTCAAGCCATCCCAAACATGTTTTGGTTGGTGGGAATCATATCAAATCATCATCCCAACTCATTATGCTTGGAAAACACACGACCTTTGAAACTGAAACCACCCACCAGGCATTGGTTGCTATTGATTTCCAAGCTCACACTGAAGTCCAACTGCCGGCCATCACAGGCATTCACCCATCAAAAGTGTTAGCCATCGGCCTGTTTGGCCTTCCCAACAAAAACTTGAAAAACCGCAACGAAATCCAGTGGAACATCTGAGAGAATAGCAGAGTAGGACTGCTTTCCTATGATAAATCTATAATGTGTATAATCCATATGGAATATACTCTACATAACACCCGGTGTAGATGCTGTGAATACGTAAATAAAAAATAAATATATATATATATATATAAATATACAGTATATATATGTCTCTCTCTCTCTCTCTCTCCATATATCATACATCATCATATCAATGGAACAAACTGATGCCATCCAGCCATATTTCCAGTGCAGCTGTGATGAACTCACGTTGCCGCTTCCGTTGAGGTCCAGTTTTCCGAAGGCTTTCTTGGCCCGCATGGATCGGTCATCCTGTTCATCTCCACATTTGTCCTCGAGGAGAGGAAAGTTTGATCCAAAAAAACGGCGATGCTAAATATACAATACTATTAATACTGTATTAATACTATACTGTATAACGTACATAGAACAGGCAATGATTGACATCATGACATCCAAATCTACAGCTGCCAAAATCCAGTGCAAGCAGTCAAGCTTCGATCATCATTTGACGAATTGTCTTTCTGTACCTCATTGCGCCAACTTTTTGCTTGAGCAAGTAAACCTGTGTCATCCTTGAACACCATTTTTTCACACAAGAACTCTGCGCTCTGAAATTCAGCAAAAGTAATCCCCTTAAATTTCTAGATAATTAATTAATTGCATTCATGAGCCAAAGCATACCATGGCAAATTAACTTCGGCAAGTGGCTCTTCATGATTTTGGGCAATCCTCAGGCATCAGCTCACTGGCTGGTTAAACGGCTGGGGCGCCCTCGGCTGGGACGCCTCTATCTGCCTGTGTGCCTGACCTATCAACCGATCTACATCCATATGCATATATGATGATTATTTATGTAGCATAGCATTCTCTTTCCGTAGGTCAAACTTAGTTGCCCCTAAAATTGGATGGCTGAAACTAACCTAGAATACCTTGCGGTACTCTCCTATAATTCAACATATATTATTGAAAATGCCAATTTTCTATCCATTTACCAATGATTTACCCATTGAAAACATTAGTAGAAAATGGCGATTTGATGTGATTTTCACCTGATTGTCCAATATGTTCCATCATTAGCTATGTTACAGCTGGATTACCAAAAGGTCACACATACACATACATATATATATATATATAACTTATATATACATATTTTGTGTATATACCCATAGGATCCATGTATGCCATATATGGTAACGTTTACCATCACTATACCCCCAATGTTAGCATATAATACATGGATCCTATGGGATATAATACCATTATATACCCAACATGACCAGTCCATCATGCAGTCCCAAGTGGCTCTTCTGCCGTGAGCTGCCTCCTGGGATGCCAAAAACTTCGTCTAGACTCGGCCTCTGCAGCTGGATGTCCTACGTCCTACCAGGTCCTACCATAGAAATCAAGTCAAACACAGGATGTTATTAGGGAATTTCTATGAATTTCTGATGGGATTTGATGGAATTTCGACGTGAATTTCTGGGATTTGATATTCTGGGATGCTTTTGATGGGGGTTGGTTTGTTGCTATCTGAATATCCCAAATCCAACTCGGTCTGCAATGGTCTCCATGCCTGTGATCGAGCCGAAGCACTCAGCAATTGTGATCGCCTGAAGCTCGGTGCAACACCCAACTGGGCACCTAGGAGCCTAGGGGCCACCACGAACCATCAGATCTTCATCAGATCTTTCAGAGAAGCTATAAATCTATATAAAACAATTAGTGGAAATGCATAAGAATGCCAAGAAGCTGCGATTTCTTTTGCCTTTCCTTCTCTCGTCTCTGGTCTGCAGCATCGAAGTATTCCTTCAGCGTCATGTGGGAGTCCTCCGCCACCTGAAGTGCTTATTGTGGAAGGCAAAAGGGACCGTCTCAAATCGTGAGATACCCCAAAGATGTTAAAATATGTTTAAATGATTAAAACAAATGCAACTTGAAAAGAGAAAATGATGTTATAAGTCGAAGTAAACCAACATAAACCAACATAAACCAACATCACATGCTTGCAAAACTATGGTTTTCACTATGTTATCACCATCTCCAAATTACCCACCTCAGGTTCCTCATCCTCGTCCAGGATTGCCAGCTTTTCACGAGCTCCAGCCGTTTCGGGAGCCGTCTGCGACCGTCCTCATGGAATGACACGTTTTCCACGCTGGTTCCACTATGGTTCCACTTTTCCACGCTGTTTTTGCATGTTTTTGCAATCCCCTGAGGGAAAAGTCAAGCTCCGGAAAGCATAGAGTTTGACAAAGTTCATGCTTGAAAAAAATCGTGCATCTACAATAGAATTGCATTCCTGGGCTTACAGAGTTTACTTTGACTCAGGCATGCCTAGATGATAAAGCATTCCAGCACGTTGGACATGATGACACGTGCATCCCTGTAAATAAGATAAGGATGATAAGGAATGGCATGACAGTGTACTGCTTGATTCTTGATTTGCTTACCTAAATGATAAATCAAATATTCTTTGGTCAACCTTTGGTCCTTTGAATCGAATAACCCCCCCAGAAATTCAAGGTGCCAAACCCTGGTGCCAAGTTGCCAGCCGACTCCTCTGCTGGACTGGGCCTGACAATGGCAGTTGGGCCTAATGATGAATTGATCAGCATGTTCATGGAGAACAGGCCTCTCTTCTTGAGCTTCTTGAGGAGTTTCTTCAGTCTTCTTAGGCGCACTGTTCCGCACCTTTCCAAACAGAACTCAATTCGAAACCCTTTGGCTGCTTCTGTTGCTTTTCTTTAGTGTTAGTAAGGCCTTTGGATGCTTGGTTCAAATTGCAAAACAGTGAGATTGGAGCAAAAACTTCTAGCAAAAACACCTTGGACAAACTTGTTACAATCAGTTCCAATCAGTTTCCAGAAGTCTCGGAAGTCAGTCCTTCCGGCCATGGCGGCCATGGCGGCCCTGGCCCTGCCTTCCGCTGGTGGAGCTCTTCCTTCAATGCTTGGATCTGATCCTCCACCTGCGCCTGACGAAACTCATCTGCAAGCGAGGTCGCCACCGTTGAAAGGAAGCGACACTGAAGACTCGAAGTGACTTGGGGGAAAAAAACGAAAAATCATCATAAGAATCTAAACAAAACTGATCAGTGATTTGGTCTAGGAATTTCGTGCGCTTGCCTGGCTGCAACAGTTCCTATTGATTTCTTTTCGCATCCAGTAGGCTCATGAGGCAACCCCAGCCCAAACCCCAAGTCAGAACTGACCCCCCACCGCGTGGTTCTGGTGAAACTCGAACTTCTCCCTGTCTCGCATGGCTCGACGTTGCGCCTGAACAGTGGCTGTGGAAGCATAGTCCAAAGCTTTTCACACAAAGACTGGACCATTTGATCCAGCAGCACCGCCCCACAGCTGTTTTTACTCCGAGCACACCTTTAGCGCATTGAGATCTGTATAGATCTGTGAGACGTAGACAGGCCGTTCCTTCCACACTCAACCTCAAACAAAGAACTCACTCCAATTGCGTGTAACAATGAGTCTGCTTGCAAAGTTTCATTTAGAAACAAGAAGAATCAAGAAGATAACAATTCAGCAAGTTTCACACATGTTAGATACGTCGGTGCACTATGGGAGGAAGGTCCATGTGGTGAAACTCAGAAAGGGAGACGCATCCTTCGCCTGAAGCAATGCATTGACTGCTTGTCTCGGCTTGGAGGCAATCCTCTCTGGAGTACACGTAGCAGGCAGCTGTGAAGCACCACTTATGTCAAGAACTGGAAGCAATGTACACGGTTGGAAAGCTGCGTGTTGTGGGATTTAACAGGGTTAGGTCAACACAAATGGCCCCTGCCACAAACGATTTTCCGATATGTTCGGATGTTTTCGGAAATTTTGTCATTTGCCTGTCACCTCCTCAGAAGTTTCTCCGTCTCGCGAGAGTCCTTGCCCCAGCATTCGCAACAGCCATCACCCTCGGGCTCCTCAGCATACTTTGATGCACGATTCTGGAGTCCCCGGCAGAAGGCAATGGTGTCCGTGATGGTCTGGAAGTGATGCAAGAAGCAAAGAGACATCAAAAGAGCAATGAAACCTGATGCCAAGGCAGTACTTTCTGGATCTGAAACATACCTCGGCAACAAATGCTGACGATTGCACAAATTAGATTTTGCTTGGGGCCCAAGCTCACAGCAAAACACGAACTGTGTAAACAAAAACATATACCATGGCTTGATGGGCCCCCCAATATGGGTAATTACTCCCATTGGAATAATCTTAATTATTCTTGGGTTCTTGCACCTAGTTTAAAACCAAAAACAATTTGTATATTGTGTAAGAGCTGCATTTTTCTGACTAGGTGGAAAGAAACTTGGAAAAATCATCTAAAAACCTTGTTGGCTCTTTACACTTCTTGCTTGGCTGTCAAGTTCTGCAACATCATCAAAAAAACATACACATAACATATAATTATCAAATTTATATTCCCCACGGGTCTTGACATGTTGATGGCAATTATTCTAAGGGGGCCTTGAGATTGAGATAGATAGGTTTTAATGTATAATTTTGAATTACTGATACATATTCAAATGAAACAAAACGTATGCGACCATCATTTATATACCCCTCAGATACCCCTCAGGTAAAAATACCGTTCCACCTTCATTGTTCCAGTAGGTCAACGGCCCCCCTAGAATAAGTACTTAAGGTATCTTAAGGATTCTCAAGGTATGGAAAATTAAAACTTGCTTCACTCACTACCCTTTCTGACCAAGCAAAGGATGGCGTACTGTGCACTGTCAGGCTCAGTGTACCGAGGGAAAGTTCTGGTCACCAGCCATACCAAAAAGCCGGTCCCGGTCGAAATGCCTCCGACACCAAGAACTACAAAGAGTGCTCCTACACCCTCTATGACGGTCCATTTTGCTGCATGAAGGAATACCTTGCTCATCGCATATTCAAGTGATGAGCAATACCCTTCACTTCCATCAATTGCAATCTGCATGAGCGCCACTTGGCTGGTCAGGTCAAGTACTTTCCTCGACTGCCCAAGTCTTAAAAAAAATATCGCCATTACGCGTATCCCCCCAAAACAAGTCATCCCAGTGGCCCCGACAAGAAGAAAATTCTCTATAGTTCTCATTGCCACGCTCCGGTACACAGAGTATTTCGATGAAATGAAATTCGTGCATTCTAGATCTGAGAGCCCGCTTTGTTTTGAGTCCTTTGTTGCCACTGGTTTAACGGTTTGCATCAAAGGCAAGTTGAACCCAAAGAAGAACTTGATTCTTGTTGCTTCCACCCAGGTTCTGGATAAAGGCGAAGCACAAGTCGACTGCCCAGCGTGCCACTTTCAGAACACATGTCCCAACTTCCGTGTAGCTCGCAGCCTCCTCAGCCATTAGGAAGGCTTTAATTACCCATCTGATGGGTCGGAGTAGGGCCAAACACATGGCTGCGAAGATCAAAGAACCCAAGTGCTGCATTGCTGCTAGAAAGCCTTTGACCAGCAACTTGACCCCACACATCTCACAAAAGCTAGCTCGTTCAGTCTGCTTAAAGTGCTTGAAGAACCAGACTTCAGCCACATAGATGACCACAAAGACGGAGATGTAATGGAGGAGCTCCATCACCAATAGCCATGCAAACAGAAAGTAGACAGCACTCACGGATGAAAATGAGTCTGGGTGGAAGAGGCTTTGAGGCTGGGTCAAGTCCACTGACTGACTATACTCACCTGATCCTATGAGCATGATGAAGACCAGACACCCAAGGACGAAGACGGGAACTTTGATCAAGAAGGAAAGGAAGGGTTCCAGTAAGAGTGATGGCATCGTCATGAGGCACTCAGCTGCTTCTTCCACTGTGTGGGAAGCGCCTGCACATCTGCCACACAGACAGCAAGCAGAAATCACCATGCAAACTGAAATGGTAAAGCCAGAAATAGCAGCCCACCAAGCAAATTCCGGGCTCATAACGCCAATCTTCTCTTCTCCCTCTGTATCTATCGCCCCGTGGTGTTTGTAGACGCGATAGGCCGCAAAGGCTGCTGGAACGACAATCAGCGCTGTGACAGAAATATTGATCAGACTCCTGGCACAGTTCTCCACGAAGCAAAGAAATGTAAGGGAAAGAACCACAGTCACCAAAGCAGCCAGTAGCAGCACTTCCTGGTTGTGCCAAAGCTCTGAAACCTGCAAGGCGGCTTGCAAGGCTATGTTTTTCCCAGTGAGCTCAGTGATGTTTCCCTCAAATTCACGAACGTTTGGCACGCAAAGAACTCCTGCCAAAGGAAAGCTGGGATATCCCCTCACCACTATTTCCTGGGACTCTGGCACATCCTGAAGAACAGGAGTTGCCGGAGGTGGAGGTGGAGGTGGTAGCGCAGGAGTCGCCACACTAAGGCTGCCTTGAAAGCCCCCAGTGAAAGGACTCACCGAAATCGCTGGACTCTGCACCGGCAATGGCTGCTCTGCTTCCGCCGGCGCCTCTGGTTGAGACACTGTGGCAGGCGCCGCAGGCGCCGGCGTGGAGGGCGCCATAGTGGCAGTGACGGCGGGGGCCCGGAGTAAGCTGTTGGTTTCTGAGATACCTACAGGAATGGCATCCACCAAACTCCCAAGCCGTCGTTCCTCGGGTTTCAAGTAGGTCACCACCGTTGCAGTGCTGGATGCTGGGCAAACATCCACGCAGACTTGCCGATGAAGGTCGATGCCACCGTCATCCAACGGAAAGAACACAAACTTCTCCATACCTTAAAGTTGCTGCCGCTAAGTTCATCTATATTCCGCAGATTACCCCAACTTGCTCTCTAATCATCTCTATAGATCATTATGGATCCTGGATCAAGAAGAAATTAAATGCCTGGAAGTCATCGGACTTCTTGTGGTGGAGAAGTGGGGCAAACACGAACTTGTGCCAAAGCGTGTTTAAAAGAAAAAACGCAACTTTTGAAAGCCAGGTGCATTGTGTGCCTTGATAGTCAGGCAAGGACTGTAGACGCTGAATATCACCAGCCTCTACACTTCGATAGATGCAGAAGCCCAGACCTCCCAAGATGGCTGCGAAGACGATCAAACACCCAACATCTGTGCACTTCCTCGTGGTTTCTTCGGGCGTGCGAAGTAACTCATCGACCTCTCTAGCCATGTCACGATGCACGGCCCCGGATCTGGGGCTCCAAATGGCTCCAAATCGCGGCGGCTTGGCGACGTAGAACGACCATGTGGCTATGGCATGCTATGGCATGGATGAATAGCAGCATCCCGGGAATTGTGTTATATATGTTACATGTTCGAAAACCAATATTGAAATGCGGAAATCATCAAGATTTTGATGACAATGGAAGATTGGCACTGCAGAGTGAAGAAGACATGGATCGATCGAGACAAGAAACACCTTGTAATTTTATTGCAAGTCCTGCATCCAAAACAGTCCAATGCATCTGGCCTTCTTTTCTAGTAGCATGGAATCTGACAAGCAACCTTCCAGTCGTCGAAGTTCCTCCTGAAAGAAAAAGCAAAGTTGCACTCCAAAGTGACCGGATGCATTTTACTAAGCCAGGTTAACATAATATGTTTGGGATATAGAGTTACTCGGGGAAGAATGAGCTGTCTGATTCCGTCTCCAAACAATAAAGAAAAAAAGCACTGCACATTAAGAAAACAGCCGGTTCATGGTTTTTTTTGGCTCATGTCTTTGTAAAGTGCCGTAAAGTCGCAGCGGGCTTAAGGCACCTACCTACCATGCTTTCCGTAGCTCTTAGATGCTCTGAGCCCTGAGTCTCCTTCTCTGCTCTGTGCTGAGCTTTCAGCCATGATAGATGCACTTTGATCTTATCCTCGCACTGATCACTGCAGCTCAAGTGCAACTCAACTGCTTGCCCTATGCGAGGTCGGCTGAACGAAGCTAGAACAATATGATACAGCACTCGCTGTGAAGACGTACCTCTTGTCTAATCTTGTGTCCTTCTCCTTATTTGCAGCAAAGCCACTACCTGCTCATCCTCTTTTGGCGATCCAGAGGCTGTCAGCGCCGGTGGGGCTTTCAGTGCCGCCATCTCCTTCAAGAGACCAACATCCAACACGCTACTCACATCTGTTCTGCACTGCGTTTTCTGGAACTGCAGCATTTAGACACCTCTCAAGTGCACTCCGCAAGCAAACAAAACATAGTAACATATACCCGTAATTGCTCGTAATTACAAAAACAAACTGCAACGAGTCATTTGAATACTATAGACTCTAGACTATAAATAAATATATAGATATAGTTATTATCTATCCGAATCTATCCATGCTGCCAGCTTCCCCTTCCCTTCCGTGGGGCATTTACGGCATCAAGCGAGGACAACTACTCTGAGGCTTTGTTTTGTTATTGATGCCCATTTATTTGATTTTAAAAGTATTTTGACCCGGGTTTCCAGCTCTGACATTTTATTGAACAACATCTGCTCGAGGGCTGGCTTTCCACGATTGAAATGATTCGAACAATCAAAAATTGCACCCACTGTATTGGATTGTCGCGGCTGTCCTGTGCTTTCAGTGGATGAAGTTTGATTTGAGACTTTGGCCGCTGCAAGCCATCCTTCATGAGTGACCTCAACGAGGCTTCAAAAACCTGGATTGTTTCTCCTGGATCCAGCAATTCACCAAAATCATTGGATGCATGTGCATTCTTTTCCGTATGGAAAACAAGAATCCCACAATAAAATATGGCGATAAACTTCACCTCTTCATACCTGTTCTATCTTTCTGGGGATTGCTAATTACAGGTAGTTGCCATTTTAGCCATCCCAAAAAAGATGCGATGAGATATTAAATAAATAATATATATAAATATATATGATTATACATGTTATATGTCCAGGTTTCCAGCTTTCGAATTCGGTAAACCCAATGCCATAACCCCATCCCCAATTCTTCACCGTTTTCATGGGGTGATTTCAACCATTCCCACATGGTAAGTTTATGGCATTGGGTTTACGACATTAATGTTAGTAAAGCATAGGCATAGTAAATTAAAGCAATAATAAACCAGCATAAACCAGCCATATGTTGATGCTTTAGAGTCTTTAGAGCACCCATGTGTGGTAAAATGAGGGATGGTGGATCCTATTGAATTATTGCGTTACTAACATTAGCGGGATTTTCCCCCAACTATATCATGGATGATCACAGTAATCAACTATAGCCTATATATAGATAATCTATAGTCATAACATTATACCATAATTAACGATAATAAATCCCAACATATCCCAACAATATCTAATATCATCATAATACACATTCTACTCCAGGTATACTCATCGACCAAGGCACAAGCCCACATAGCGTGCCACATCCGAGTAGCGGATGTCCGGGGTCCGCGCCGGCGATGCCTCAGGGCAAGGAAACCATGGATTTTCCCATGGATTTTCCATCGATTTTGCCATAAGAAATTGGGTGGTTCCAATGGTTCCAATGGTTCCTGTACATTTTCCCTTAAGAACCAATCCATTGAGGCTGGCTCAGCCATTCGAACGCAGCCAGAGAAGGCCCGTTCTTCAGAATGTGCACAGAATTTCACATCACATGACTTCGTCATCTACCAATCATTGCAACTAGGATGCCATGGCCGCGCCGCAAGCTGCTCAGCCGACCAGCTTTTGAGCCACTGCAAAGGCAAGCACGTTTTTCATCTGTTTTTTAATGGATACAAAATCAGCCTCAACAGGTATGACATCATGATTTTACACTCTGTCAAACAACTCAAAAATTACGATGTATTCCGATTATATGATAATTAATAATTTATGATATATTACATGCATGATATCTGATGATATCTGATATAGAATAGTTATGAAACGTTAATGTCACAACACTTGAGAAGCACTTCCCCATTTGCAGCCCCAGGCCATCTGAAAACGCGCCGCTGAGATCCCAGCCTTCACCAAGCTGGCCTCTCCAGGCCCGCGTAAATGGATCACCTGAAGGATCTCCGTTTTGGCTCTCCTGGGGTGATAACTTCTGGGGTGAAACTTCCGGTTTTGTGGAAACAAAACGGGAAGCTGGCGGTAGGACTTAAATATCTCGATACTTAAGATATATATATATATACTATATATATATAATGATATAATTGTATATCCGCCGACCCCTGCCGTCAGCAGGGGGAGCGCGTCAGAGGAGGCCTTACTAGCAACAAGATGCCAGAAGGGGCGAAGAGTTTGCGCAGAACGAAAGCCGGCTCCAGGAGGACACGAGCAGGGTGGCAGTTGGCAGTGTAGAAACGCAGGAAAAGTCAAGGTTTGGAGCTAGTTTCTAGTCGGTTCAGAAAGTGACGTTTGGCAGTCTGGGATACGGGCCGCGGGCCCAATCCGTCCTTCACTGCCATGGTGTTTTTAGCCCTGCGACACGGTCCTTGGACTCCAGCTTGGACCGAAGCGGTGCAGAACGAAAGCCGGCTCCAGGAGGACACGAGCAGGGTGGCAGTTGGCAGTGCAGAAACGCAGGAAGTCAAGGTTTGGAGCTAGTTTCTAGTCGGTTCAGAAAGTGACGTTTGGCAGTCTGGGATACGGGCCGCGGGCCGAATCCGTCCTTCACTGCCATGGTGTTTTAAAGCCCTGCGACACGGTCCTTGGACTCCAGCTTGGACCGAAGCGGTGCAGAACGAAAGCCGGCTCCAGGAGGACACGAGCAGGGTGGCAGTTGGCAGTGCAGAAACGCAGGAAAAGTCAAGGTTTGGAGCTAGTTCCTAGTCGGTTCAGAAAGTGACGTTTGGCAGTCTGGGATACTGGCCGCGGGCCCAATCCGTCCTTCACTGCCATGGTGTTTTAGCCCTGCGACACGGTCCTTGGACTCCAGCTTGGACCGAAGCGGTGCAGAACGAAAGCCGGCTCCAGGAGGACACGAGCAGGGTGGCAGTTGGCAGTGCAGAAACATAGGAAAAGTCAAGGTTTGGAGCTAGTTTCTAGTCGGTTCAGAAAGTGACGTTTGGCAGTCTGGGATACGGGCCGCGGCCCAATCCGTCCTTCACTGCCATGGTGTTTTAGCCCTGCGACACGGTCCTTGGACTCCAGCTTGGACCGAAGCGGTGCAGAACGAAGGCCGGCTCCAGGAGGACACGAGCAGGGTGGCAGTTGGCAGTGCAGAAACGCAGGAAGTCAAGGTTTGGAGCTAGTTTCT